CACTTAGTTCTCAAACTAAGTACATTATGGATGAGTATTTATTCACTTTGAATATTTTCCTTAAGAGAAACATGCTGCCATGAGCACATCACGAATGATCACCCATTCATTTTTCAAGACCTCAAGTCTATTGCATCTCACAATTCTGTCACTTAATCAACTTTCAAGTTGATATCCCGTGATCAAATATTTTCATATGTAGATCCGGTTGAAAATTCCTTATACACTTTACCTCCTCTTAAGATGGTACTGCCATTTTTTTATGATGAAGAAACATGGAATTTCTTAAAATCATCATATTCACCCAACGGGTGCTATACCATTATTTGAAATTCTTGCTAGTACCGAGAATACTATGCAAGTTAGTGGTAACAAAATAGAACCATGAGGAATTCGAAGTAAAGTGGAGGATAATAGACAACCAAAGACAAAATTACCTCTTAGTAAGGAATATATCGTTTTCAAACGATCACAAAGACAACTCTCAAGTTTGTCAAATGTGTGGCTATACAAAGATTATACGTATGATTACCAAACCCTAAGATACATAGTCAAACCACACCACATATTTGGGATAAATTTTAAAATTTCCAAACTTACAACCAGAAAATATTCTAGTAAATGATTGTTCTCAAATCTTCATCAGAAGTCGAGAACCAAAAATCTAGTGCAATAAAAGGATGTTACGATGATATGTTTGCGAAATAAATAATATTGGAGACCTCATGTAATCTCTTAATTATCCCAAAATACTATTAGCCTATACTTGTTGTACTACAAGTAGTGCGATGTCCAATATCTTATTTCTCAGACATGATATTTGATAAATTCTGAATGTATGAATCAAGTCATACTCAATATTGTTGCGTACACAATAATTTTCTAGATCTTAATAAATTAAATATTTGGCTTGGTAGCCTTAACCATCCTGTTTTGGGGATGATTAGAAAATTATTGACAATCTTGTTGGTCATAACTTATCAAGTTATAAAATTTTCCCAAATCATCAGATTTTATGTGCACCGCATGTGACATAGGGGAAATAAGTTTTAAGGCACTCTCACCTTAAAATTCTAAGGAGGACACTTATTCTCCCTTGAACACATTCAAAAAATATGTCTGGATTGCTTAACCATTATCTGGGGTAATTTAGATACTTCATGGTACTCATATACACATTCATAAAATGTTTTGAAGTGTGTCTCTTATGACACACAACCATGCATGATCTTACTAAATAAATTGCTCAACTTATCAAAGTAAGAGCAAATTCTCCTGAAACCAGGATCTATAAACCCATTCAAATGAACAATGTTGTTGGACTCATTCAATGAGCATTTTTTTGCATTAAGTACTTTATGTACATACCCAGAATGGTTTAGCTAAATTTCTTATCAAAGAGAGTTAAATGAATTACATGACCACTTTTAAAGGATTGTAAATTTACCAACCTCTTGCCGGACACATACGGCCTTACACACCGTAAGTATGATCTAAATCATACCAACTGCATATCATACTACTTTCCCCTTGTAGTTACTACGTGGAAATCAACAAAGTATTTCCCATCTGCTATAATTCGGTTACATACCGATATCACCACTCCAGCATACATCAATGGGCACTCACAGAAAATCGGGGATCTATGTGAGGAATAATAATTTATCCGTCAATCAAAATTATTCATAGTCCGTACGTTGATTGCATCAGCAATAAGGATATTTTTTCGGCATTAGGGGGAGATAAGTACCACAAAGAATGCCGAGAAATAAATTAGAAATGTTATTGACATTCAATCCTTATATCCACGTACTCAAAGAATCTAAACTAAAAGTTTAGAGAATCATATATTTGCAACACATTGCAAATCTGCCACATACATTTACTGATAACAAGGTGTTACTAAATTCTATATTCCTGCAGTAAAGTGTCAGAAAGAGTGGAGGTACCTGATAAACCACTCTTGTCCCCAAATGAGAGCAAGAGGGGGAGAAAATCTGACAAGACGAGATATAACTTCTCATATGCTTCCGCGGAAACAAAGGAAATCAAATTCTCAACCAGTAAATGTAATTCAACATCAAGTTGAAGGACACCTCACTGGATTCTCATAATCCAAAGCCCGGCATAAATGTGCACAAATATTTTGGTGCCGGGACATCGAAACACCTTGACTCCATTTGTTGTAGGAAATCACAAGGAGTTAAAAAGGAATGAATATATTATCCACAAACTTCAATGATTCCATTAGAATCATATAAACTAAAGACTACATTTGTCGACATGTATTACTTCTCAAATTGCTAAAACCTTTTGGGCCCTGAACCAAAATCCATGGTAGAGTGCCTCTTGCACTCATATTGGTTCACATAAAAGGAAGCAAGTAACGAAGAATAGTACTCGCTCTGCAAACGAGTAGTATTTACTGCAGTAATACCTACTCCTCATAAGTATCATCCCTATGGAATACTATAAACTTCTCATTCATAGACAAAGTCAATGAGGTGGTGAGAAAGCGAGGCTTGTAGCAAAAGGGTTCACGCAGAGACCCGACATCCATAACGATGTAACATACCCGCTTGGTATGAGTGGTATTACGTTTCGATATTAAATATCATTGGCAATAAAAATAATAATAATATCCATGCAGTTGATGGATGAAGTGGCTACATACTCATATGAGTCACTCATTTCGGAAATCTCTATTGAAGTTCCTGAAGGGCTTATGCTTCCGAATCCAAAAGTAAATCGCAACAATTTTTGTGTAAAACTTCATAAGTCACTCTATGACTTGAAATAGTCGGAAATCATATGGTACCACTGACTAAATGAGTTCCTTCTTCAAAAGGATTACTCGAATAATGATGATTATTTACATGTTTAATAAAGGAATACCAGATTTTATTTCCTTTCATCGCCTCAGTGTATATTTATGACATTATCATCAATGTCTATACAAGACCTAAACATACACATAATCATCTCAAGACGGAAAATTTGGATTCAACCAAATTTGGCTTAAGCTTACAACTTGAGCATTCTCTCAAGAATACATATCAGTCTACATATATCCAAGACATATACGAGAAGTTCAATGTGGATATATCATACCAATAAAAGACATGTAATATGGTCATAGTACCCCTGATAGGGTACAAATCCATTCATACCTAGGGGTGATAATGAAGTGATATCGGGACCTAAAGTTCTATCTCACTAATGTCAATGCGCTCATATCATTGCAAACTACGTCAGACCTGACACTATATTTGCTATCTTTGTTCAAAGTGCAACCCCCAACAAAAGGTATATGGTCGATATAATAAATATCTACTTATATTCCAATCTCACAATAAATCTTGGACAATTCCGTCAGGAAAATCAAGATATGACCATGATATGATGTAATAATATTGGATCTTTATTTGATCCCAATAATGCCATATCAATGACTGAATTCACTGGAATAGTCTTCTCATGGAATTCATCTAAATAGATTCTAATGACTATTTCCACTTATCATTCTGACATAATTGCTTTATCTAAAAACATTGCAAAATATGCCTGGCTTAGTAGAATGATCAATCACACTCAAAATCATATGGTTGAGATTCATCAGAATCGCATAACTTGATTTTATCAAGATTCTACCACTTGTGTTACTCAATACCTACAGGTTATATGAAGAGCAACATCATAAAGCACATTGCTCAAAAATCACTTATCCTCATGAATTATAGAAAATGAGGAAACAATCTGCAAACAAAATACTGGAAAATCCAACGGATTATTCCTAATGTTATGGTCATGTCAATGGAATTGGTCGGACACATCCTCCAGATTTGCAAAGTTCAGGGGGAGTAATCTCCCAAAGTATAATCCATTAACAATCATTAGATTGCATATATTGTACTTTTTTTCCCTTCATGAGTTTTTCCCTGATGGTTTCTCATAAAAGGTTTTTAACGACACAATATAAACACAAGTGTCGGTATATGCCATATCATTTTCTCCTTGTATTTTCTCCCACTGGGTTTTAAAGGAGTTTTCAATGGCATATATAATCGCACTCTTTTCCCTTATGAGTTTTCTCTCAAAGTTTCTCATAATGGTTTTTAATGAGGCAATATCTTCTCAAAGATCATATGTCATACTTTCTATTTTCCCTATTGGGGTTTTTAAAGGAAGTACTCAAGACATATTTATTGTTCTCTAACCTCAAAGATGAGTTTTCTCCTTCTATAAAGGTTTTTCTCAATTGAGTTCTCATGAGACAATAATCATCATATGTTGTATCATTTTCTCCTTATTTTCCCACAGGGTTTAAAGGAGTTTTAACAACATATCAAATACTATTCTCCTCATATTTTTCCCACAGGGTTTTTAGAGGAGTATTTCTCAAGATGAAGATGATGAACATTCAAGGCAAATACATACTAGAAGGAGACTATCAGGATGATGTATATTCACAAAGAGAAGCATTGATTAGGGGGAGTGTTAGGAATTAATTAATAGGTTAATTAATTGTTAATCTATGCTAATGTCGGTGGCCATGTTTGGCAACCGTCTCCTTTGTAACCGCCTTGTAACGAGGGTATAAATACCCCAATGTTCAATCAATGAAAGAACTGTTCCATCATTTGCTCCTCTCTCTCGTTTCTCTCTAAACACATTCCACTCCATTGAGTGGAGTTCTTCCCATCCACAGGGCCTACTCGTAGCCTTGCTCTCATTTTTTCCTTAAACTTTTTTTGGGGGGGGAAAGTTGGTTTTGTGTACACGGCAGACAGTATATATAGTAGGCTTTGTGTGAGTTGATTAAAAAGCTTCAATCATTCGTTTCATCTCTAGCTAGCCAGTAGCAAAGATTCTTCGTTTCGTTTCTTTTCTTTGCTTTGCTTGCCATCCATCCTTTCATATATACGGAGGGAGGGAGGGAGGGAGCTAGTTGATTCCAGTTTCCCGAAGCTAGCTAGCTAGCCAGCCAGTGATATCGATCCATGGGGAAGGGCCGCAGCTGCAGGTACGGATCAGAGCGGCTGCTCTACCCCGTCCAGGCCAGCGGTCACCACGTCGCCGGCGCCGCCGATCACCTCGCCGACCTCGACGAGGAGGACGTCTGGTCGGTGCTCGCGGCGCCTGCGCCCGACTCCAACCGCTCCACCGGCAGCGCCAGGCAACCTGAGCAGGACCGTCGCGGGCGGTGGACCGCAGGGGGGCTGTCGCTGGCGTTCGAGGCAACGGCGTCCACGCCGGCCGGGCGCCACAATCATCACGTGGCGAGCTCGGCGCCTGTCAGGGTGCCCGAGTGGCCGGCGGCCAGGTTCCCGGCTGGGTCTGGCGGCGAACAGCACGGCTACGGCGTGAGCTGCCGTGAGGAGGAGGGGGAGTGGATGGCGCCGCACGAGTACCTGCAGGCCCAGGCACGGAGCAGCGGGCGCGGCACGGCTGCGCCGTCGGTGTTCGAGGGCGTGGGGAGGACGCTGAAAGGGCGCGACCTCAGCCGGGTGCGCGACGCCGTCTGGAGCAACACCGGATTCTTCGGCTAAGCAAGCAATACCATGCACCTCATCATCATCGTCTCCTCTCTTGTCAGCTCAGCTAGCTACTCCATCATAAGCTCGGAGGGCACTTCCCTTTCCTGTTGGATCATTCGTTATAAGATGCATGTACTGTTCTTAATCAGTACTTATGAATTAGGATAGGAGGTGTGGGAAAGTATGAAGAAGAAAAAAAATAGATGATTGGTTAATTATTAATTAATCTCCTGCACTGTGGAGTACGTACTGTATGTAGCTGCTGCAGGTAGAGTTTTGGGTCTGTTTCGATTGTATTGGGTTGTGTGCTATCCCTAGCTAGCTAGCTACCTGCCGATATCGTCAGTTTGTCACCAACTTCTCCGGAAAAAAAGTTCCAATTTGATTATTATTAGCTCAAAGTGATCGTGTTGGCGTATGCATGGTCAGTTGGATTACATCCTTGGGAGTTGGGAGTATTTCTCACTGTATACACGCGCTAGAGATGGCCTAGTTTACGGGTACGTACGCTCCAAAACAGAAATAAGAGGGCGAATTAACCTGCATCAAGTAGAGTAGTACTAGTAAATTGGCCGCGCGAAGAGGACCGGAGGAGCGCATTTACGGGAGCGTTTGGTTCGTGGGCAAGGTTAGCTGGTTAAGGATATACCTAATCATGTGGTTGGAGATATCCTTATTCTCGTGTTTGGTTGCAAATTGAGAGGTGGTTAAGGGTAGCCAATTTTATGTTTGGTAAGAAAGATGGAAGACGGATATCTTATAATTTGAGTTCTTTTTTGTAAATAAACTAATTATACAAGACATATATATCAATTTTTTAGAATTAAAACATATATATATATATATATATATATATATATATATATATATATATATATATATATTTGAATGGTCAACGACACTATAGAAAAAATGCATTGGATTTGTAACTTCATGGTCCAAACATATCCATCTGTACAACCAAATGCGTACACTCCAATCTGACAAAAAATACAAGCTATACATCAGCAAATTAGAAGATGTATCTAATGGTCAATTCGAAGTCGATCTTGCCATGTCATGTCACAGCTAGATGCACAAATACTAGTCTGAAGAATGATATCTCCAGGCCAGCCTCGACATGGTCCATGAACTCGGGATCCCCTGAGATGTGGAGGCAGTTGCCTCCGCGTCCGCATAGGCCGTGGCTACCTGCTGGTCGTGGAGGCGGAAATGCAGGATAGCAGGTCAGTACTTGTTGTAGCCGGCGAGCGTGATGGTTCGGCCTACTTCACGCGCACCATCGGACTTTACTGTGCCGCCGCCGTACACCTTAAACGCGTCGTCGCCGTACACCTCAAACGCGTCGCCGCCGATCCAAATTGTAGTAGCCGTCACTACCTATTCTGTTCGGGAGGGGTGAGAAAAGAAAGGAAAATGTTTCCCTGGCTCAGGAGGACATCGCGCGTGGGTGGTTGCCGCCATCCGCCATAATTTTGCGGCTCCCCTCAGCCAACTTTTGATGGAATATTCTCAGGTATCTGGTTATTCTTAGCCATCTTCGCTCATAAACCAAACGAGTGGTATCCCCTCTAAAACTGGCTATCTCAATCCTCTGGGTGGTTATCCTTTGAACCAAACGCCGACGTGTACGAGTGGCCAGGGATGTCCCTCCGTGACCATTGTGAAGTGAAGGACGCGTCCAGCTCTCTCTGTGTGGACCGTGCTGTGCACGTACGCGCGCACGCTTAGATTGACAGGCACGAGACAGACAGCACTGACCAGCAGCAGCAGGAGGCCGGCAAGCTCATAGAGTGGTACTGCTACGTACGTGAGTGAACAGAAATAGTTACACAGTGAAGGGAGAGCGAGCATCGAGGAATCATCCATCAGCAAGCGCAGTAATTGTTGTCGACAGCAAGTGGGCGGGCGCTACAATTCACTTGACTTCCCACACCCATGGGCATGGGCACACACCTTTTGGGGGAAAGTGACTTGCCCTATTTCGCATCCATCTGACCACCCCGGTAGCGCTTGGACGTGCACCCGCCAAGTGCTCCAGCAACCACGCACACGGGTTGGAAATCCAAAATGATTATTATTTGTGTGTTCTTTGTACCGCCGTGCTACGATGAATAGATCCAAAGTTTTCTCGCAGAAAAATAAAATCCAAAATGAAATAATGTAGGCACAGGCAAGAAGGGCTCCAATAGAGAGCTGTCATCTATTACTCTGTGGGCCAGCTGTTAAAAAGAGATGAGAAATAATGAGAAGTGAAGTCTATTTTAAACCTTGAATTCATACGCCCCGTCGGAATTGAACCCTAACCTTTATATCCCTGAAATTGACATCCTGTACTCATTGATTCCGGTCTATCTCAACCCTAAACCCGTTAAAACATGTTTGACTCGCTAGGAAAACAACAATCCTGGCCGGGATCAAACACTACTCTGACTGAACACATGGGTCCACATATCATATTCATCTTGTGCACTGAATCTTTTTATTCACAGATTGACATTTCAGTTTTTATTTAGGTTAAATAGGTTTCTCATGATATAGGTTAATTTCATGTATTTCTATTGCAATAGGTTTGTTTCATATTTTTCAAGTGAAATATGTTTGTTCCGCATATGAAATATGAAACGTTAAAATTCAAACGTGTTTGAAATGTATCCAAGATTGGTCTAGTTCTAAAGGTCTTGGCGCCCGGAGTTTAAATATATATGTTATGTCAAAAACAAACTTTTGGTTTAAAATTTATGAACAATTTAAATTAGCAAAGGTGTAGTAAAGGTTGGGTTTATTGTGTGAGAGGAGGGAGCGTGGGCTGTCAACTTTGTGCCGGAACCGGATCCTCTAACATTGAGAAAGAAATTCACGGTGCTACAGTGCTGGCCAAGTGTAAAAAGAAGAAGGAAAGTTAGAGAAGGTTAGTAGATAGTTAGCAGCTTGTTTACTGTTGATATTTACTGTAGATATAAATAATTTAAAATTAATTTTATTTCACCATCAACTTATTTGTGCGTAATTACTATAAATGTAGAGAAAATTTCTTATTTGACACTGTCTTAAAATCTGTTTCCTTATTTGACACTGGAAAAGTTTTTCTTCCCTATTTGACACAAGTTCTAAATTTTATTCCCTATATGACATTTCCGTCCATTTTGAGCCTAAATGACACATGAAAAGACTCTTTTGCCCCTCATGTGGTATGTGTGTGAGGGGCAATAGCGCACGCACGCAGCATCAGTGCAAGGGCAAGAGAACACACGCAGCAACACATACACATGTACCAACACACACATGCGCACACACACGCAACAACACGCACGCGCACGTGCACACACACACGCAACAACATGCACGCGCCCGTGCACACACGCAGCAACACACATGCACGCGCACACACACGTGTAAACACACACGCACGCAGCACACACACACACACACACGCAGCAGCAGCACACACAGGCAGCACATAGGCACGCAACAGCACACACACGCGCGCGCACATACACACGCAGTAGCAAACACACACTGCAGCACACATGCACACACACATGCAGCGGCAGCACACATGTGCGCGTGCACCCACACACGCAACAGCACACACGCGCGCGCACACACATACCGCATGAGGGGCGAAATCGTCTTTTCAGGTGTCATTTAGGCTCAAAACGGACAGAAGTGTCGTATAGGGAATAAAATTTAGGACTAGTGTCAAATATGGAAGAATAACTTTTCCAGTGTCAAATAAGGAACCAGATTTTAAGACGGTGTCAAATAAGGAATTTTCTCATAAATGTATACAATAGATCATCAATTTGCAAATTAGTTTGAGTCATTTTAGTCTTAATCGTATGAATAGAAAGAAGGGAAAGTTAGGGTACTGTAGCTTCTCTAACTTCCTTTCTCTATGTTAGAGGATCCGGTTCCCTTTGTGCCATGCATGTCATGCATGCCATGCGAGGACAATAGTGGGGCCCATATGTTATATTTCGTTATGTATAATTTTATATAGAAGAAAGTATGAATAAATAGATAGAAACCGCACGCATCTTGATGTCTAGATGGACGATGGATATGTTACAAGTAGGTAACTTTAACACGCAAAACGACTGTGCGGCTGGAAATCAGGTCCAACCATCTTGAGCCACGAGACTTCCCTTCGTTATCTCCCTGACACTAGGCGGCTAAGGCAAACTTTTCGGTTGAGACTTCACAATGAGTCCATGAATTCTCCTCCCCTCTGCCTGCCGTTCCGGCGATCAGTGGAGGGAAGGAGAAACCCGATGCCTTCACTCGAGTTAGTAGTTTAGGTTATGGTTTTACGTGTGGCGCACAGGTGGATGGCGGCGCTTCTTTTTTGATTTTTTTTCTTCCGGGCTTCGATCCTCCATGAATTCGTCCATTAGGACGTAGTCGACGAAGGTAGATTCCTGTTGCCTCCTTGGGACGGTGAGGTTAGCGTTTCTCGTCATGTGGCGAGATTTGGCGTCAGACGCTTCAGATCTATGCAAGCATTCAACGGCGCTGGTCGCTAGGTCCACGTTCACGATTACTTCCCAAATGTCATCGACAAAGGTTAAGCCGGCTCCGGTAGAGAACGGCGCATCGGCAGCTCATTCTGGTGGCCATAGTGGTCGTTCGGGCATCACGGAATCTTGATATAACTTTTATTATGTTTGAGATTATTTATACTTGCAATGGACTTTTATAATTGATTTGATCCTTTCTGCAAAAGAAACAACCACACACGGGTTAACTCATACTCCAGTTGTTCGGTTATAAGGCAAAGACACATTATGTCATTTTTTCGACAAATCTAATTCGGCTCTTGGGAGCATATGCTCCTACGACCAAAAATGTTTTCTTATAAGTGTTAATCTTTTTAAAACAAAATAGATGGGTTCATTATCACACTCAAAATGCTACCTGCAAATTTTCAGGGAGAAAGCTTAAGCATTTTGACATGTTCAAAAAAATCAAACAGCAAATGTTATGCTTAGTTTTATTTTTCTCACCGACAA